AGGCATTGACTCGGAGTAGTTAGTTTTTTATCAGCTGTGCAGTTGAGCAAAGAAGACACAAGATATTTGAAATAGTTGGATGGCCCAGTTATGTGAGTATAAGTGTTCACGCACAGACTTGGAACAGCTTTTTATTGATTTGTCTTCCTCTTGGCAGGCTCGTGACAAAGCAGCATTAATTGCATAATATGATTTGTGGAGAAGTATGCACGCAGCAAAGTAATTTGTCTAACATTGTTCGAAGGAATGGCTCTTATTTGATTTGTGTCTAAGACTCAGCAACAAAAGTCTGGGAAAGGTTTTTTTTATGTGCAAGACAAGAAAAAAAAATGAAGAGTGGTTTTGCAGTGTTGTTGTTTTATGATTGAAAACACGCTGCTGCGTGCCAGTGCAGGCTTTTCTGCAAACATAGAAGCACGGTGTAGTTTCTGCCATGGGAACACTGGTATGTATGGTTTGGTTGATCATTGACTCCAGTCTGTTATCCACTATCTGGGTCATTGTTTTGGGTTAAAAGACTTCAGCAGGTGGATGCAAATTTGAACCTCAAAGGAGTCGCAGCTTGAACAGTGACTGAACTGCACATTTGGCACAGTTGCCTGGTCTGTCTCTCGCTAAAGGGGCTACTTAACAACATGAAAGGGCACAATGGCAATGAAGAACTGTCTTTTATGTGACACCTCTCACAGAGATCATGCATTAAACAGAAAGTCTGTCTTTGGTCATAATTGGCTTGGACAGACTGAACAGGAAGGCAAGTGGAAGAATTCATTTAAGTCCAAAGACATGACATGGTTACGTGCCTTCCCTCTCGACAATCCCCCCTGTAATGGGAAATGAAACTGATTGAACGCGGGACTCCAGTGTCCAGCCTGTTTTCCCAAACCAATTTCCCTTCAAGTCTAGACAGCTGGACTTTTCAATTGCATCTGTGTATGTGTGGTCACATGCAGAGCGAGCTCAACAAGGCTGTCAGACAAACAAATTAATCGTGTAATGGGTGGTGACACTTCAAAGCGGGATCTGGGCTGTTCGTGGGCTTTAGTTGTCAGCGAGTTTTCAAATCTATTTGATTTCCTCTTCACAAATCTACATCCCTGAAGTCCTACCTTTTCTCAGATCAGACTGCCCTCCCCCTCCCAGTGTCCCTCCCCACCATCCTTCGTTTGGCATCGAGCACACTTTTGATCCTCTAATTGATCATTCTGGCAATCTGTCTCTTTCCCTACATGTAACATGGAATTTTTCTTCTTCATCTTCTGTATCTCCCCATTCCCTTTGAAGCAGCACTAGACATTTTATTTATCTTCCTCCTCTGCTCATCTATCTTACCCTCAGCCTCTCTCTTCTCCTATCGTCCCTGTGAGTCTCCTTATTTATCTGCTTGCTCTTTCAGTGAAGGGTGCCCTTGTTAGATAGCGGTGTTGCTTCTTGGATGCAAGTACCCTTGGGTTAAGTTTTCTTCAAAGAATCTCACAGGGTATCTTATCAAAGTATCTAAGACATTTACTTGGTCCCTGATATAAGCTCGGAAAACTGCAAAAATGCCTCTGCATGACTTCCAAAATTACAGGTGGCCTATTTTTGAAGGTGATAATGTACGTGTGTGTGACAGCCTGTGGTAAAGTACAGAAATCTAGAAGCTTGAAGGTACTGCCATATCTCCCTAATATATAATTTCTCAACTCTAGTACATTTTTTATGACTTTATAAAATAATAAAAAACTCTTATTAAAAGAGAGCTCCAGTTATTAGCCATTGCACTCCTATAACATTGTGAAATTTTGATGTGCAATTTAAGCAGCAGGGAATCTTTTTATACACAAATGTGTGCTGTTTTTAGTTGAATGGACTAAAGAAAAAAATAACCTTGAGCTGCATATTTTGGAGGATGCCTTCTCAGTGTTTATGCAATGAGTGGAAGCAAGGAATACTGCAGTCACACTGTAAATTATACCCTATTTTTCCCTTCTTTTTGAATTTAGTGGGGACTATATTTCTGCAATCAACATGATTATTATTAAAAAAAAAAAACTTAACAGTTATTGAGGGCATAGCTGCATCAGGAGGGTGTTTACTGAGGTCACAGATCCTGGGAGCCAAGGATGGTTTTTCCATTTACTTTTATTCAGCTCAACGTAGCTTTGCAACCAGGGGAGTCGCCCCCTGCTGGGCATCAGAAAGAACACAGATTTAAGGCCCTTTCACTCTTGCTTCAGTTTCAGGTGTATCGTCAGTCACAGCCTGGTATCGCCACTATTTAAAATGTAATTAAACCCTTGAGAGTCTAGCTGGTGATCTGATAAGTTTTGCCACCAGCAGCTGTTGTCACCTCATGAAGAAATGTCTCATTTTTCCTAAATCCACACCTCTGTCTATCAGTTTCCTTCACCTCATCCAATTCGGGGTCACACTGAGACCGAGAACCATTCACACTCACAGTCACACCCAATTTAGGATCACCAGTTAACCTAACGTGCACTGTGGGAGACCGTGCACAGGCTTGGGGACAAACACAGAAGGACCCAGGCTGGTGGATTTGAATCCAGGACCTTCTTACTGTGAGGCGACAGCATGGTGCTGTCCTCCTCACAGTGTCTTGTGGTCATTAAAAATGTGTTCAGAATTTACAAACTGATGATGATTAATCATGAGTACACACTGCTTTCCCTACATAAGCTGCCTCTATAAGTTCAAAGTCTGTACTGGCAATACTGGCCCTGGATTTACTTGGTATCAGATCACACAGCACTACATACTCTCCAAAAACCTTAAGACTGTGTTTAATCTGCAAAATTAGCCAAGGTCATTTGTGAATTGGATGATTAGGATGGTCTAATTAGAAGTGGACAATGGTGAATCCTGTGATTTAAAAACAACTACACACTTTGCCAACTTGTGGAAGCTGAAGTTATCGCTGCTGGAAAAGAACCTCATAAAAGATGGAAACCAACTTAAAAGCCAGCGTGCTCCCTTCTCTGCCTCTTGCTTTCTTTCTTTTTAGTTTTTTTTTTTCTCACCACTTTTCAAATCTTCATATTGCACTTGGTGTTTTTTAGCACACACAGTGCCTCCTGTGGCACAAAGCGCCACTAATAATTACTAATGGCTTCTGGCAAAGTAAGTGTTTTGAAACCTTGTTGGAACATGGGAAGAAAATTGTGTTAAACATCAAAGGTTACTTTCTTTTTCAATACGTCTTCTTTGCGTATGATGAATTTGAGTTGCAATGACATCCACGCTGAGTGGGTTGGACGTGTCTTGCCGTTTCCGCCGAGGGGTTTGTAGGGTCGCATTAGCATCAGGAAACTGTTGTGTGATGTGTAATTTAGTTCTTTTGAGGCTGTTTTTCACTGCTGAGAGG